CTGCTCCTCCTGCTCCTCCTCCTCCTCCTCCTCCTCCTCCTCCTCCCTCGCCGCGCCGCACGGTGGAGGAGCGCCCGCGCGGCGCCCGCCCTGGCGGAGGACCTCTCGGCGCCCCGGGCCAGCGCGGGCGCGGAGCGGGCGGGAGGGGCCGGCGGGGAGGGCGAGAAGCGCTTGTGCCGAGAAGCTTTGGAGAGCCCCCCCCTCCTCCTCCTCCTCCTCCTCCTCCTGCTCCTGCTCCTGCTCCTGCTCCTGCTCCTGTTCCTGCTCCTGCGGTCGGAAGAAGTAGGCAAAAACATGAAGTAGGAAGGCGGATTAAGTTGATTGGGTCCAGGCCCCCACAGGGAATAACAAAGCACAGCAGAAGCGTGTCGATTCTTGAAGTAGGAAGGCGCTTGAAGCAGATTGGGATCTGGGAATCCAAACATACCAACTTTCAGCGACCGGCGTGTATGGCCGGGCGTTGGTGCGGAAAGAGAAAAACACGAGGAGGAAAAGCCCGACGAGGAGGCGCCAGCTTGTGCCGAGAAGCTTCGGAGAACCCCCATGCCCAGAATCGAATCGATGAGTCGGATCCGCGATCGAGATCCATCGGATCGGCGGAAATCGGCAGGCTGGCATGCCTCTGCTGAGAAACCAAATCCCGAATCGGAATCCGAAGCCGAATCGAATCGGAATCGAGGCCCATCGAAATCGACCCGAATCGAATCGGGGGAATCGAAATGAGCCCCGGGAGTATGGCTGGGCGCTGGTGTGAGAAGGGGAAGACATGAGGAGGAGGAGCCCGACGAGAAGGATGGCGACGGCGAAGGCGACGACGGAGACATGACGAGGAGAGCAGGCGGAGAGCAGGAGGGCGAGGAGGGGCAGGACACGACGCCTAGACGAGCGCGCTCCACTACTCGCAGAGTGACTGCTTGCAAATGGCCTGGATCCGCTGGGGGGGGGATCTGCGAGACATCATATCGAATCAGACATGTGCTTTTCGGGCGCTTGCGAGTATCGGGGGAAAACACGCCTACCTCGCTTTTGACCACCCTCGCTTCCAAGAGATACCAAACGATGCCAACTTGCAGCCTGTACTGGTCAGGCCGCTTGACGAGGGGGCGCGTGGTATGGCTTGGTTTTGCCTGGAAGCGAAAGCGGGGTAGGCAATTTACGCTCTGAGAGTAGGCACGATGCGAGCAGTGGGACGCGCTGGGCCAGCACACAGCAGCAGCAGGACGAGGACACCCCTTCGCGCCAGAGGCCTCGGCGGCGGCAGTGCGGGAGGAGCGCCCGCTCGAAGAGGGCCCGCGAGGACGCGGCGTGACTTGTGGAGGCCGGGCCTCTACAGATCACGACTCGGCTTGCAGGGATGGACGAGCACGGCCTCCATCCGAACACGAACCGAATCCCGAACACGAATCTGGGGCCCTGGGACACACCAATAAATACACACAAATTCGCCGGCCCAACGGGCCAGGGCGTGCTAAGATCTCCGGTACCTGGTTAACAGTATTTCTAGTTCGCGCGCGCGGGGCGGCCCCTGGGGGTCCCTGGGCGAAAAGTACCCCGGCAAGGTCCCGGCAAGTCCCCGGCAAGTCCCTGGCAAAGTCCCGGCAAGGTCGGGCCAGAGATGCCGGAGTTCTGTTTCGGAGTCCAAGAGGGCTCCAGATCGGTCCAAGAGGGCCCCGAGAAGCTTTCTAGACGGTCCAAGAGAGGCCCGAGACGGCCAAAGATCGCCCGAAGACGCCCCAGATGGCCCCAAGACAGCCCAAGAGGCCTCCAAGACGTTCCAAGGGCCTTCCAAGAGGCCTCCGAAGAGGGCCCCAAGTTGCCAAAATCGTTGATTTTCATTTGTTTTTTCGATGTTTTTTTGCGTTCTGGCCTTTTCGCTTCCGGACGCTCCAAGAGGGCCCAAGAGGCCTTCAAGACTGCTCCAAGACGGCCCACGAGGCTCCCAAGACGGCCCCGGAGCGGCCCAAGAGCGCCCCCCAGACGGCCCAAGTGCTGCCCAAGGCGGACCAAGAGGCCCCAAGACGGGCCCAAGAGGGGCTCAAGAAGGGAACCGAGAACTGAAAAATCGAGCCCTCCGCCCCAGAAGGCGCCCAGGACCCCGAAAGAGGCCCCAAGAGACTCTCCAAAACACCCCCAAGACGCCCCAATAAGCTCCCGTGAGGCCCCAAGAGGACCAACAACGTCAGGCCCCAGGCCCCAAGAGGACCAACAAATACCGCCAAGAGCCCGCCGAAAGCCTCCCGAGAGACCGTCACGAGAGCTCAGGAGGCCCCCTGGAGGCCTCCCGAGTTCTCCAAGAGGCCTAAAAAGAGGCGCCAAGAGGCCCCAAACGGCCCCACCGAGGCTCCAAGAGGCCACGAACGCGCAAGCAAATGCCTGCGATGGCACAATACGGGCCGGCGGAATGAGCGAAGCGATTAAATAAAAAGGCTCCCCATATTTTCTCATCTTTTTTGGGTCTTTGTCTCCCCGCCCAACTCCCATAGTCCCACCAGCCCTCTGGGCGTCGGTGGTTTAAGGAGTTTCCTCTTCCACCCCTCCTTCTTCCCCTTCGGGGAGGGGTTTACCCCTCCCCCTCCCCCCTCCCCACTGACCTGGACAGGGGGTTCCGCGGCGCGTTGGAGCGCCCAAGACGGCCTCGGCGAGGAAGCCAAAATCATTGATTTTACTAAGGTTTCGGCCCCATTTTGGCCTTCTGAGGGGGGGGCTGAAATTTAGGACCTCCCCTTCTTTGATCGATTTCCTCCACGATGGCCGCAAGAGGCCCCCAGGATGCCCCAAGAGGCCGCAGGATGGCCCCAAGATGGCCCCACGAGGCCCCCCAAGAGGCCCCCAGGAGGCCCCCAAGAGACCCCCAAGAGGCCCCAAGAGACCCCCCAGAGGCACCCAAGGTGCTCCCAGAGGCCCCAAGATGGCCCCAAGAGGCCCCAAGAGGCCCCCAGGAGGCCCCAAAGAGGATTCCGAACGGCCCACAGAGGCCCCCCCGAGGCGCCCAAGACGCCGAAAAGCCCCTCAGGACGACACTCTACTCGCCTGGGCGTCGTTTCTGGACGGGCTGGTGGGGATACGCGAAGCGTCTAGAATTTCCAATATTTTCTTGGGGGTCGACGATTCATTGTGTCTGTGTGCTGTTTCCCCTCCTGAGAACCCGAGTCCCGAACGCAGAAACATACTCCAGATTTCGTAATAAAAGGGAGGGGGTCTGGACCCTCCAAGACAAGCCATTTCAGACCTCCCCCGTGGGAGAACCCTCCAAAACATCGTCCCCAGACCCCCCCAGGCCCTCCAAGATAGCCTGGAAGAGACCCCCCCCCGAAATGAGACCCCCCTCCCTTTATTACGAAATCTGGAGTAATCCCGAACACAAAAAACCGATGCCATGGAGCAGGACCCGCGAGGCCGGCGTGATCTGCAGAGGCTGGCTCGACTACACCTCCGGCGTGGCGGGGGGCCTCCGAGGCGCGTGGCGAGCGGCGCGCTCCTGGACGCCCCCGCCGCCCGAGGGCTCCCGCACCGGCGGCGCCCCTGCGCTGGTCGCGCTCCGCGCGGCGGAGGGTGCCGCCGGCGCAGCAGGCACCGCCTGGCTCCATTCCAAGGGCTCCTCCTCCTCCTCCTCCGCCTCTCCTTCCTCCTCCTCCTGCTCCACCACCTGCATCATCATCATCATCATCATCCATCAGCATCAATCATCATCATCATCATCATCATCATCATCATCATCATCACCACCATCACCATCACCATCACCATCACCATCACCATCACCATCACCATCACCATCACCATCACAACCATCATCATCATCATCACCATCACCACCATCATCATCATCGTCATCATCGTCATCATCATCGCCATCATCAGCACCACCCTCCGCCTCCTACTCCTCCCTTTCCTCTTCCTCCTATACTTCTTTTCCATCACAATAACCACCACCACGGTCATAACCACCACCATCACCACCATCACCACCATCACCACCAGCATCAGCAGCAACATCATGATCATCATCATGACATCATCATCACCCTCCTCCCCCTCCTCATCATCATCATCATCGTCGTCGCCGTCACCATCATCGTCATCCTCATCGCGACCATCATTATCCATATCATCATCCTCATCATCATCACGATCAGCACCAACATCATGATGATGATGATCATCATCATCATCATGACCATCGCCATCATCGTCACCGTCGTGGTCATCATCATCACCATCTCCAGCACCATCATCATAAGCATCATCCTCATCACCATCGCCATCGCCATCATCACCATCACCATCGCCATTACCATCATCATCACCATCATAAGCATCATCCTCATCATGCTCATCATCATCACCATCACCATCACCATCACCATCACCATCACCATCACCATCACCATCATCATCATCATCATCATCATCATCATCATCATCATCATCATCATCATCATCATCATCATTATCACCAACTATCACCATCATCATCATTATCATCATCATTACCACCGGAACCACCACCACCACCGCCGCCATCATCATCATCACAATCATCACCATCATCATAACCATCATCATCATCACCATCTTCGTCACCATCTTCGTCACCATCATCGTCATCATCATCATCATCATCATCATCATCATCCCCATTGCCATCACCATCGCCATCGCCATCGCCGTCGCCATCACCAACCACCATCACCATCACCATCACCATCACCATCACCATCATCATCATCATCGTCGTCATCATCATCATCCTCATCATCACCATCACCATCACCATCACCATCACCATCACCATCATCATCACCATCACCATCACCATCATCATCATCATCATCATCATCATCATCATCATCATCATCATCATCATCATCATCATCATCATCATCATCATCATCTTCATCTTCATATTCATCATCTTCATCATCTTCATCATCCAATTTACTTTCCCTCGCACGGCCATAACATGACCGAGGGGGCACGGCCGGCTGAAGCCAAGGAATGGGGGGCAGCGGGGGCAGAAATATGTTGGTAGGCGGAACGGAGGGCAGAACCACCGTCGATGCCAGGCGCGGGCTTGCATCACAACGTGACAGACGCCACAGGGACGCCGCCAGCAGCTTCAGGCAAAAATAATACACAATCAAAACGCACAAGAAACAACATCGAACAGCGACGCGCAAACACCAAACAGCCTAGAGGGGAGGGCCATCCCAGCGAGAATCGATGAAACACGCTGGCAGAACCCACCTTTCGACACAACCGGGCGCAACGATTGACGCCCGCTACCACCCCTTCTTATCCCCCCAACCCCGAGGCAAAGCCAAACGAGCAATAATTCCGACCGGCTCGTGCTCTGAGGGCTAGAAGGAAGCGCCGGAAGAAGACGCGCGTCAGACGGCGCTCGATGCGACTCGCCTGGGCCAGGGGCGAAGGCTCGAGGGTCCAACCGCCTCCGCCGTCGGTCGATCCAGAGGGGTTGCGAATCCATCGGTCGGAAGAAGTAGATAGAAATATGAAGCAGGAAGGCGTTGAAAAGAGATCGGGTGTCCGCCCGCCCCCTCAAAAGGACGGAAAAGGTGGAGCCACTCGATCACTGAAGCAGGACGGCGCTTGAAAGTAGATTTTGGAGGCTGGAAATCAAAGCATGCATACTTTCAACGACCGATAGGGAACTCCCGCCCCCAACCTTCGACATCGGCGACGAAGAATTATCCCGGCGAAGGACCCAACCATATTGAAGGGGAACTGGGACACACAAATAAATACACACACATAAAAATATCCCCCATATTTTCCCATATTTTCTGGGTTTTTGTCTCCCCCCCCCACTTCCTATATTTTCCAATATTTTCTGGGAATCGCCGATTAATTGTGTCTGTGTGTTTTTCCCCCTCCTGACATATGCACTCGTGAGTGCCGCGTTGTGGGCACCGCTCTCGGTGGAGCTCCCCACGGGGGCCCCGACCCTCGTGAGGGGGGGGTGTGCCGTCGTGGGCGGGGGGACGCGCATGCGGACCTGGCCGCTGGGGCCTTTGGTGGAGCTCCCTGTGCGAAGGATTGCAACAAAAAAAAAACCGAAGGATTGCAAAAAAGAACCCAAGGATTGCAAAAAAAAAAACCCAGGATTGCAAAAAACACCCAGGATGGCAAGCCTTCGGGTTTTTTTGCAATCCATCCTCGTGAGGGGTGTGCCGAAATGGGCGGGGGGACGCATGCGGACCCTGCCGCTGGGGCCTTCGGTGGAGCTCCCTGTGGGGCCACGATCCTCGTGAGGGGCGTGCCGACATGGGCGGGTCCCTCCGCTGCCTCCATCTGCGATCTTTCCTCCCCAGGAGAGACCTAGAGGTGCCAAAAGGTTCCGATACCGCTGCTCCCCGGACCTCTCCCGGGGTGCGTTCTGACTAGGATTTGAAACGAATCCAACGGTGGCGACGAGGGCCTCCCAGGAGGCCGAAACGGGGGTGAACGGGCGAAGGGGTAGAGGTAGAGGTACCTTTTCCTCCTCTGATCCTCACCTGCGCCCCCCCCCCCCCCCCCGCTTGCCGCACTCCCGCCCGCCGCGTCGGGCACCCTGGCGCCAGAGGGAGCCGCCGCTGCCGCGAGGAGCCAGGGCCTCGGCGGCAGCGGCGCCTGTGCCCTGCGGCGCGGCAGGGGAGGGCAGTGACGACAGGACACTGGGCGGGAGCGGATAGGCCTCCCTTCCCCGCCTGGGGCGACGAAGTCTATACATATCCACTGCTCCCTGGCCAGCTTCATCCTGAGCCCGGCGGCGGTGTATACGCCTCGCCCTCCTGGCCAAGTCAGGAAGGCGCACGCGCATTTCCTGGGGTCAGGACGGGCCGGGCCAGGGGCCAAGTGGATATGTATAGCTTTCGTCGTGTCCGAAAGCCCCTCCGTCGCGTCCGAAAGCCCCTCTTATGAGACCCTATGCCCGTCCGAAGGCCTGCCCTTCCCGTCCAATCCCCTTCCCGTCCAAAGGCCCCGCGCCCCGTCTGCCGCGTCGGGCGCGCCCCGGCGCCCGAGGGGGTCGCCGCTGCCGCGAGGGGCCAGGGGCCTCGGAGAGGCCACGGCACCTATGCCCCGAGGCGCGGCAGAGGAGGGCGGTGACGACAGGAGCTGGACGGGGGGGCGCGGGCACGAGACGAGCAACAAGACACCTTCCAGCAGCAACACCCATCGTGAAACAACCAGAAAGAACAATAAGCAACAAGAAGGGAGCCGCAAGAAGGAACAGCAACAGGAAACAACACTAATGACCAAGCAACACGAAGTATCAACGGCACGCGAGCGGGGCGGCCCGCGCCGAGTAACTGAATCTGCAGAAACCATCGAATTGTCGCAGCAGGTGGGGCGCAACAGTGGCGTTCTCGACAACGCCGAATGCTTCGAGGAGCCTGGCGGCCTTGTCGACTCGCTGCTGGGTGCGCTCGCGGCAGAACGCGTTGCTGCCGACTGGTGCGCCCAGGAGTTCGAAGCAGCCGTCTGTGCGCGGGCGGAAGCCTGGATGGGGAGGCCTGCAAGTCCACCTCGGTGTCGCTGCCGCCCAGTGGGGGCCACATTGTATCTTCTGGGGCCAGTGCGAAAGCGGAACCCCGCTGCTGCCAGCTCGCCTCCTGGCAGGTGGAGGAGGAGCGCCACGGCGCGCCAGTCGCCCGCCAGGGTGCCGTCGTCAAGGACAAGCTAAGTCAGGTTCAGAGCGCCTTTGGCCGTGGGTGCAGGCTGGCGGAGGGCCCTCTCAGCAGCGCGCTGCACAGCCAGGGAGAACAGCAGTGGTGCCACGGCGTGTCCTTGCAGCGCGCCACGTTCCGAGCGGACCGAAGGCTGGCCGACCCAGAGCACGGAAGGGGCCCGCCAACACCAAGAAACCCAGCGGGCAAGGGCGGGCAACTCCTCGCGCACCGCTTGCAGGAGGGCTTGGCGGTCGAGGGCGTTGGAAGGGGTTGTTCACGTCAGGTTCAACAAGCATCTTCTCCTTGCTGCCAGCGTGGCGCGCGAACCACTGTCGGGATACGTGGGCCGCAGCCTCGCAGCCGCCCAGGACTGCGACGCCCACCTGTAAAGGGGCGAGGCGGTCACGGGCGGTGCCGGAAACATTGTTGCAAAGGCACTTCGCCACCAAACGCCAGATGGTTTCCCCCGCGGTCACCTGTCGAAAGCCACCGTCTTTCTTGGGACGGGCCACCAGCGAGGCACCAACCAAATCGTCCGCCACGCCGGGGGGCTTGGAGGTTGGCGAAGTAGCACCTCGTCGCGGTGGGCTGCCGTCTGTAGCGCGTCCTTCAGGTGCTGTGGGCGCAAGCCAGATGTCAAGTGCCCAGGAGGAGCCCGCAATGTGCAACACTGTTGGCAATTCTGGTCGTCTTGGTGTGGACTCCCTTTGCACTTATATGGTCGAACGCTTCCACTCGATTGTTTCGATCGATGCCTCCAGGCCAGCTGGCACCTGTCTTCCCGAGGCCTTCTCTTTTATATCCTCCCCAGGCCGATTTCACATTTTCTTTATTTTCCGCACTGGCGTTCATTACGCTTCCCGTCGTCCGCCGCCCTCGCGTTTCTGTGCGTTGGGCCGCCTGGGATTCAGGGCTGGGCTTCCCTTCGCTGGGGGAGGGTGGCGGTCGAAACCAACTCTCCGGGTAAGAACCTTAAGCAAGACGGCGTGCAAACCGCTGTAAATAGAGTCAGCAAAAAGAGTCCGACTGACTTCCTCCCCTTCCCCCTTCCTCCTCCCCCTCCTCCTCCCTCCTTCTCCCCCTGCGATCTTACCCCTCCTCTCTCTCCTCCTCCTCCTCCTCTCTCCTCCTCCTCCTCACTTCTTGACATCCCCGCCCTCCTGCTCCTTACTACCTCTACCCCCCGTCATCCGTCATCCGCCGTCCTTCCTCCTCCTCCTCCTCCTCCTCCTCCTCCTTTTCGTTCTCCTCCTCCTCGCCCTCCTCTTCCTCCTCCTCCTCCTCTTCCTCCTCTTCCTCCTCCTCCTCTTCCTCTTCCTCCTCCTCCTCCTCGTCCTCCTCCTCCTCCTCATCCTCCTTCCTCTTGCTCCCCCAGCGCCTCGGGCCCCCAGACCACTGGCGGCCGTCGCCGTCGCCCGTG